TGGTGGGCAAGCGCTACATACTTTATTTCACTGCTGGTGGGCAAGCGCTACATACTTCAACCCACGAATTCCCAGTCTGCCGCGCTCACCTTTCCGGTGGCAATACCGCCTCAGAAGAACCAGATCACGGACGTCCGAATTCCGCGAGGCACACGAGAAATATAATACGCCGCTTCCAGCACCCGGTTCGACTGAGTGAACTCTCCAAATACTCCTGGGTTCAATTTAGAATAGCTGACCTATCGCAAACGAATTTGCATAGTCACTCTGCTAGTTGAAGGAGGATATCATGGGGATACGAAAAAAGGTGAAGAATGCACCATTTCAAATCACCAACGTACTAGAAAGGATATTGTTTGCTGCCAGTACCAAGAGCTTATCGCATGGACCTCCAGTGCAAATATCCAGCTCTCACGATGTCATCACTTCGTGTTCAGACAACGCTTTTGTCATGACGGACGGTAATTCCACCGTAGTGGATGGCGACCCTGCGATGCGCTGGCCCGACGATTATTCCATACTAGACGTTGATCCCTATATGCCCCAAATCAACGGTCCCCCCGTTCATGAAGACGATGAGGACTCGACGTATGGAGAAGCACCCCCTACCACAACTACCTCGATGTGCAGCACCGCAGCCCGCTGTATAACGAAGCACGGCCGTAGGTACGAGTTTTACTACCAAGATGGATTTCATCCTTTTCCAAATGACGCCGCTGAACAACAGCGGATCGCTGCCTTCCATCGCCATATCACGCAGTACCTCGCCAGCTCGCCATATCCCGCAGTACCTCGCCAGCAGCGGTTCCAACGGCGGCCACGGGCTTCATTTCGCACCTATCCAGCCTAACGGCAAAAGCGTCCTCGATATGGGTACAGGAACCGGTGACTGGGTCATTGATATGGGCAAGTTGTATCGTGGAGCCGTCATCATAGGCACCGATCTTAGTCCTATTCAACGGAGAAAAGAAGTTTCTATCGACGCTAGATCGATCCTCAGCTACGACAACGTTCCCGTCAACGTTGAATGGATCATGGATGATCTCGAACTAGAGTGGGTTGATCCCACCTTGTACCACTACATTCACTGTCGAAA